TGTCTTCGCCACAGTCACATCCACACTCCCACTCCCATCCACACCCACATCGATACCTTTAAATAGGTCTAACATTTTTCATACATACCTCAGTGAACTGGCTGTATCGATTGGCCAGGAGATTTTGGTGTTCATGGGTGTTCGTGCTTTGGGAAAAACAGTGGTCATTGGGAAATATTCTACGAGTTCGAAGTGTTCTGGAAGTTCCTAGAAGTCTTATATTTCTAAGAGTATTTGGGAGGTCCAAGGTTTCCAAGAGCTCCTAGGTTTCAAGAGTTCCTAGCAAGGGGGAAACGGCGGACTTGAAGTAGAAAAGTACGTCAAAGTACGTCAAAGTAGACTACTTGAAGTAGCTCAAAGTACCACCCAAGTAGCCCAAAGTAGGAACAAGTAGCTTAAAGTAACTTGAAGTAACTTCAGGTAAATTTGAAGTTGAAAAATACTTCAAAGTAAGCTACTTCAAGTAGCTGAAAGTAACTTGAAGTAGCTTAAAGTAGCTCAAAGTAACTTCAAGTCCAAAAGTCCGCCGTTTCCCCCTTGGTTCCTAGGGTTCTGAGAGTTCCCAGGGTTTCAAGAGCTTCTAGAGTTCCGAGGGTTCCAAGGATTCTAAGAGTTTCCAGGTATCCCAGAGTTCCTAGGGTTCCAAGAGTTCCAAGAGTTCCAAGAGTTCCCAGGGTTCCAAGACTTCCTAGAGTTCCCAGAGTTCCAAGGGTTCCTTAAGTTGCTAGAATTCCCAGACTTCCAAGAGTTCCTACGGTTCTAAGGGTTCTTCAAGAATTCCTACAGTTCTCCAAGAGTTCTGATTTAATGGAATCCGGCCACGTCTCGTTTTTGCCCAGTACAACTAGCAAAAAATTTTGAATTTTTACTACTTCCGTGAGACATTTTCTTATACGCTCCATCTACCCAAATCTTAGGACATTCGCAGGGCTTCTGAGATAAACAATTTATTCCTCACAGAATACATCTTCACAAATGATAAAAAGAAACTAGAAGACCAGATAGATATGACAAGATTCAGAAAAAAAACCAGTAATCACATTGATCAACTTACTACACTTGCCACCTTACACAACGCACTTTTTTTTCAGATTATTTTTAAATTGTGTGCTGAATTTATACAAAGGAACAATAATAAAAGACTCCTACTTGGAAAATGTGGCAAAGTTGTATCATAAAGATGTTGACAATAAGATTTCTCACTGTTTTCTTTTCAACATGCATTACATTAATTATTTTTTCAACCAGCATCTTTTGCGTTAGTTGTTTCCAACTAGGGTGTTTCGCCGAAGAGCAATATTGACTTAGAAGTTATTTTTCTTTCGTTCTATGGTGAAGACAAAATGGTAATAATCTCATTTCTGAAGAAAATTGGTAAAAAAAACTCAGACACTGGCTTGTTTTGCGCACTTATCGATGAAAAAGACATTAAAGAACGCAAAAAATCTACCTTAAATAGAATGAAACAATGAATATATTCACTTCAGAAATAGAAACTATTATTTAAAAAATGAGTTGTGGTTGTCGTAGGCCAACAAATTGCTATAATGATACAACACGATATAAAACTATGATTGTTTTTCATACAATTGATCTGATATTTTTCATTATTCGATTGAGTCTTGTGAGTAACGATATTTCGAAAGGTGAATCTGATACAAAGCGTTTTCTTATACCTATGCTATTATTTGATTTAATTGCATCAGTTCCTGTCATAATATGTAATATTATTTATATGATAATGCGTTATTGTGTTAATGCATTAGTTCACAAACAAAGTTCTTTTCAATTTTTATGGTATGTTGGGACGATGACCTGTGTTCGATTCACTTGTCACAATGAACGTCCACAAACCATTTTACTGATGCGTGTTATTTTTATTGTTTGTTCCTTTATCTTAAAGTTTATTTGTTTCGTTATCGGTGCTTCCTGTTCTGCTCGTTTCAAATCACAATGTACTGCCTATGCTGTCATTGCTGCTTTTGCTCTAGTATCATCTGTATTGGTTATTATTAGTGAGTTTATTCATTTTTTTCGTTTATGGACTTACAATCCAACTGATAGAAGAAATACAAACAATAAAAACACAGTTCACAGTACTAACATAACGAAGCAAATAGAAAAAACTCATCGACGTCATCTTGGTTTTATTCATTATTCATTATTAAATGACCAAAATGCTGACAGATTTCGACATTCAAGATGTGAAAAAGGAATTAATTGTAAATCGTGTAATCTTCATCATTATTTATTGTATCATACACTTGACTCTGACCATAACATTGATTTAGGAACATTGTCAGATGACGAAAAAAATCTTTTATTGCTTTTTATGAAACAAATAAACAAGAAGCATTAGATATTGCTCAAAATGGATTCCCTTATGGTGATACTACTAATGCAACATTCAAAGATTATTTACATCTTAAACAAACTATCTTCTTTACACGTTCATGTAAAAAAGGAAATGATTCGTCTGCAGAAGCGATTATATGTGTTCGACTCAATTTAGGACGAACAGAAACAATAAACAATGATGAAAATCTGAATCTTAATAATTATTTTGCATTTAACGATGGAAAGTGGGACACAGTTTATGTAAGAAATACACGTCGATTTTATCTTCGAATGCCAGCTCAGATTGAAAAATGGATCATTGCAATTAATGCTAATGTTCCAGTCAATGACAATTTAGATGGCAACTTTTATGTAGGTTGTCCTTAGATAAATTATGTGTATATTCATGCCAAATAGAAATTCGTTTATATTATAATTAGAAAATAAACTCTAAATTATTTTTTTATCAATTAATTACATATTGTATTATATATATATATATGATAATTTAATGTTTAATAGAGTCTAGTAGAATTTTTCTCTCAAAAAGATTTTTCTTTCATATCTTTTGTTTTTGACTGTACTTAAATTAATATTCACGTTTTTACTAAGCTATTGTTTTTTTCGTTTCATAACTTATTATGAATACTTTTCATCGACCTATGTATATTTGATAAATGAAAATGGTAGAGACACGAATAAGTATATGTGAGCATAATTATGCATTTCTTTGATTATTTTCTTTGAAGAACGAACGAACGAAAAAAAAGCAACAATCATTCTTTTTTATTTACCTTCTGTTTTCAATAACAAAACTATTCTTCAGGAGTGTTAGAGTGATTTGTCTCCTAAGGACAAATTCTGATGATGGAAAAAAAACATATATGTGTTATTGCACACGATCTCTTTATTATATGCTGTATCAAATGTGTAGTATGTTTATATAGCGATAGAAGGAAGACTAGATAGAGAGAGAAAATATCACAGAAGGTGAATAACAAAAGAGAACAAAAGAATGAAAATAATATCTATTAGGTATATGCATAGAGATGTGAATATTCTTCACACTCTAACATTCTCCCATATGTTGAAAAAAAAGTCCTCTGGACATTTTAAAATATAGAAATGCAAAAAGTTAACAACAAGAGGCAAAAAAAAAATGTACGAAGTGAAGCAATAACAACAATGAAAGACAAAAATGAATATCTGAGAAAAACAAATGTAGATCACGATGATCAATATGAAAAGAGGAAACAAAAAAAATATATAATTGCATCGTATTTTTTCCATCGAATGTATGTTAAATTATCCATAAATGTTTGGCAATACAATAGTGTTAACGATGAGAATGACGTGAACGTGATTGAGATTGTTGATGATGAGAATTTGAATGACGATTTGCACGTGGTAATTGACCATTTGTTTTAAGTTTTTCATAATGTGTTGTTGTAAATAAATCACGAGATTGTTGTTCATATATATTAATCGATTCTGAATTACGAATAGCCACGAATAATGTTCTTTTGTTTGTCGTTGTTGTGGTTGTATTAACTACATAAAATGGAATTTGTTGTTGTTGAAGGATCATTTTAATTTGTTTTATTGAAAAACGATGATCAATATTTTTAAAAATCAATTCATTTCGATAATAACGTTTACGTTGTTTAATCGTACATGATCTATTGTGTATTTTTTTACGTTGATCATCGGATAATTTTTCACGAGGATTTTTTGATTCATCTTGATTATCACAATTTAATGTTGATTGTGCATTTGTCCAATCGGGTAAATTTGTATCGTTTTCATTGATTCTTATCGATTCCCAATCATGTGAGTATCTTTGTAAATCATCAAATGATGGCATTAATTCTGGTTGATGACTCATAGGTAAATCGATTCGAGTTGACAATGTAAATTTATCTTCCAGAGTTACGATAGATGGAGTAGATGGTTTATTTGAAAAGATAATGTGATTTGAAAATTTTGTTTGATGTTTATATAATGATGAAGTACGTTGTGTATATAATAAATCATCATCATCATCTGAACTAATAGGTGATAATTGAAATAATTTAGGTTAAATATGTTTCTTCGAATTAAATTTAAATTAAATTTTTTCATTTTTCATATGTATCAATATTCGTTGCATCGATAAACAATCATTTAATGCATATGTTGTCAGCTGTTGTCGATATTGTTTTTCGCTAAAATCTAAATCAAATAAATTAGGATCTAATCCGATATTAAATTTTTCTTTAGTTAATATTTTTGGAAGATACTCATTTAATAAATATGCAGTCGAATCTTGGAGTGACCAAGGTTCTGATGATTTCTTCCCGATACATTTTTCACATACACATTTATCTTCTGCTTTATTAGATAATGTTGAAATACGATCGTGATGTGGATGTTGTTCATTCCAAAATAATTTAAATTGATGTTGTAGATTAATTGGTGTAATAGATTGAAGTTGTTCATGTGAAAATAATTTGAAGTTAATAAAAGGAAATAATTCGTCCTTGGTTCCCCAAATGTAAAGTTGTTTATTGGACGTAATAATAAGGTCGAATAATTGTTTAATTAATGTAAAACGAGTAGTATTATCACCGGGCAAATGGCACATCTCGACGATCATAACAAGCGATAAATTGTATGGTAATAAAATCTGTATTTGAACTAATGCAGGTTTATTTTTTTGCTTGTGTATGTTAATGGATTCAGTATCAATGATAAATTCAGACGATGATGTTGCTGCCTGTATGAGTTGATGTAATGTTTGTTCAGTTGTTATTTTGTTAATGAAGTACGGGATATGTGGTAATGGTTCAAAATGTTCATATTTTAATTTATATTCATATTCTTTGATTTGTTTCTTTAATAATTGTTTCTAATTCTGTTGATGTTTTCCATGAATATCAGATGATATATTATTTAATTTTGGTAATGCTGTGTAATATTCTGCTTCTGATAACATGACGAAGATGAAAGAAAGGGAAAAAAAAATATGTATATATATACATATATATGTATTGTATGAAGTGATCGATTTGCTAACAAGAAAATCTATTTTATTAAAAGGTCAGTTCTGATAGGTTATCTAAATCGACTAATGGTTATCAGATAGAAAGATGTAGGTGTTCGTAGATAGGGATTGAATATTTTATTTAATGTTCATATGTCAATTAATGTTTTTACAAAATTTCATTCCTTGCAATTCTCACTAGCTAGCTGAGAATCGATTAAGAATATATGAATATAAAACATATCCAAGGTTGTATTTCGTATAAATTGAATAATTATTCATTAAGATCATTAACCAACAAATTATAATAGCCCTTCACAACCAGTGAGTGAGGGAAATTCACACTCCCCGATCATGCTATGCTAAATTAAATCTAATTAGATTAATCCATCAATAAATAATTATTCCATTTGGTTTGACATATTGATATTACGGATCTCTTTCTTAGAGGTCCTGTATTTAATAAATTCGTTCAAATATTGGTAGTAACACGTCGGTTGTAACTTGACGAAATAATGTTGGTTTTTTGACGTGTTGAACGATAAACGTTTTGGGTGTAATTGTTTGAATGATTCTAAATGGTCCTTCATAACGAATATCGAATTTATAACGGATGTTGAGTGTTTTAACAAGAACTAAGTCACCAATGTTATAGGTTGGATCAGAACGATTTATATCATAACGTTGTTTATATCGTTCTTGATTTTTAATAATATTAGTTTTTGCTTGTTCGTTTAATTTGGATAAAAATTGTCTAAGTTTTTTCGCATGTTCAGAATCATATGAAAATGTAACATTTGTATCTTGATAATCAAATGGTAAAACAGGTAGTCGACCATACATCATTTCGAACGGTATTTGTTTCGTTGAAGAATGAATTGAAGCATTGTAATTAAATGTAACAAATGGTAATTGATCATCGCAATCGGTTTTTTTAAAGTTTGATAATGCTGCAATTTTTGCATCTATAGTTGAGTTATATCTTTCAACTTGACCGTTTGTTTGAGGATGATATGGTGTTGAATATAAATGTGTTGCTCCAATTTGTTTAATTAAGTCATTCATTAATGTTGATGTAAAATGTGTTCCATTGTCAGTCAGGATACAACGAGGAGTTCCAAATTTTGAAATAATATCTTCTTTGAGAAATCGAACAGCTGTTTGAGCTGTATTATCACGTACAGCTTTTGTAACAACGAATTTGGATAAGACATCTGTAAGAGATATAATATATTTATTTCCACGTTGAGATGTTGGAGTAATAGGTCTATGAAAACCCATTGCTGCTAATTGCCAAACTCCCTCAGGTGGTTTAATAGGTCGTAAAGTACCAGGAGTTTTTTGACGACGAGGATTAAATTGAGCACATGGAACACAGGATTTAATATAATTTTCAATATCTTTATACATAGATGGCCAAAAATAACGTTGTTTAATTTTATGCAAAGTTTTATTCCTTCCAAAATGAGCACCATTTGCTGCAGTATCATGATAAATTTGTAATATTGTTCTTCGAAGATCACCTTGTGGTACATAAGGAGCTGGATGATTTAATCGACGTATTAAAAGATTATCTTTTACAATATAATTTTTATATTTCTTGATATTGTTTAGAATATTTTTTGCATAATTATCATTTTGTTGAGCTTGGATTAATTCTTCGATAGAAAATGAAGTTGTGCAATTCTCTTCAGTAGAAGTATTTAGAGAATCTGATGTTAATTCTGTTGTATTTGCAATGTCATGTAAAGTTTTATTTCGAAATTTCATAGCACGAGTTTCAACAGCTGCAATGATGGGTGAATTTTCGTTATTATATAAAATATCAGTTTGTGTTGATTTTGAAATGAGGTGTGTAGTTTCGTCAGAATCTTCTTCAGCATCGTCAACGGGAGACCTTGATAAATAATCAGGCATTGAATTAATTGAACCAGGAATGTATTTCACCTTGAAATCATATTCTCAAATTTTTAATCTCCATCTTTCACATCGTTTATTAATTTGTGCTTTTTTATTTAATTGTGTTAATGCTTTGTGATCAGTTTCCCATGTGAATTTAATTCCGCTTAAATAATTATGCCATTTGTCGAATGCACAAATAAATGCATAACATTCTTGTTCCATTGGAGACCATCTACGTTGTGCTTGAGTAAATTTCTTGGATAAATATGCGACTGGTCTATCTCCTTCTAGATAGATTTGTAATAAAACTGCACCGATTCCCTCATCAGAAGCATCTGTTTGAACTTTAAAAGGGAATCTGTTGTTCGGAAGACGTAATACTAAATCAGTTGTAAGGAAATGCTTGAGTTGTGTGAATGCTGTAACTTCTTCATTTGTGAACGTAATTGAAGTTTTCTGTCCTTTCTTTTGTTGAGTTCGTGTAGTTGGGACGAATTTTCTAAGTGGTTCGGCAATTTGAGAAAAATTTGGAATAAATTTCCTATAATATTCAGCAGCTTTAACGAATTTACAAGCTTCATTAGCAGTTTGTGGTAATTTTGTATTTAATAAGCTGTGTATGTTAGTAGGACTTGGACGAATTTCACCATTTTGTATACGATGTCCAAGATAATCAGTTTGTGTTCGAGCAATTTCGCATTTTTCTGGATTAAGACGGAAACGAGCTTCTTTTAATATTTGACAAATTTCATTCAGATGAGATAAGTGTTCTTGAAATGTTTTGGAGTAAATAATGACATCATCAATATATGCTAATGCGTATTTCCATCTTGCGGGTCCTAATATATGATTAATTACACGTTGAAATGTAGCGGGTCCATTTATAATACCTTGAGGAAGTACAGTAAATTGATAATGGTTGTCACGGGTTGAAAAAGCCGTTTTAGGACGGCCCTCTTTCGATAGAAGAACCTGGAAGTATCCAGATTTGAAATTGAATTTTGTATAATATGTTGCATCGGATAATTGATCAAATATTTCATCAATTCGAGGAAGTGGAAATGCATCTTTAATTGTAATAGCATTTAATCGTCGATAATCAATGCAAAATCGTATTGTTTTGTCTTTTTTCTTAACAAGAACGATTGGTGATGACCATGGTAAAGTTGATTCTTCAATTTGACCACGTTCTAATAATTTTTGTGTTTCTTGAAATTTAATTTCTTGATCTTTATATGAAGCTGGATATTGTTTTGAATAGATAGGTGGGTGATCACCAGTTTTAATTGCAGATTGTGGAGGTATATTTATTATTGATGGTGTAGGATCGAATAATATTTTATTTCGCCATAGTATATCTTGAATTGCTAATTGATGTTTTCGATTTTCTATATGTTTAGTCGATTCGAGTATTTGTTGTCGAATCTGTTCTGAATAACATTTTGCGCGTAGATGTTTTTGTAAATCATTACCAGATAAAAAATGTTCATTGCAATGATGACAAATAATATTTAATTTTTCTTGATTCGAGTTGTCCTTTTTACGTAAGACAGCTCTGGATTTCAATTTATTGTAATGTCGAGTTGATGTTTGATGACGTTCATTTAAAACAGGATTATGTTTTGTTGGAATTTGTGTAGTTGCACATATAGTATACGTTGCATCACGGGAGATGGTTCCGATTCGTGTATTTTTTGATAATGTTTGTTGTCGATTTTGTGCATTTATTAATAATACTTTGGCTCGATTTTTGTTGATATTTAGTAATGTATGTGGTACGAAAATAAGTTTTGATATGTGACGTTCATATGGTTCAAATATAAGATTATTAGCATTAGTAACTTGACATGTAATATCAACTAATTTTTGTGAATATGGAGGAAGAGTAATTTCATGAACTAATAATGCTGGATAATTAATGCAAGTTGGTTCCACATACGGGACTGAAATTAATTGGGCATATTGATTAGGAATGGTTAATTGTTTCTGGTCACCATAAAGGTGAACATGATTCGAATTTATCCAATCATTACCTAAAAGAATTGATGTAATTAAATTTGTAGCAACGTGAGCAGTAACATAAGTTTTAATAGATTTAATTTGTATTTCTAATTTAATTTGACCGATAATATTAAGAGGTGTTGAATTTGCAGTTTGACATAAATGAGTTTGATATAAAAAATTATGGTGAGGAATGGTTTTGAGAAAATTTGAATGAACAATTGAGATGGCGGATCCTGTATCAACAATTGCTTCCGTCGGTTGATCATTAACACGAATTTTAATGTAAACAGGAAATGATGTTATTGTTGATGGCTTTATAAATGTACTGGGAACGCCGCCATCATGTGACCCAGTTATTGAAAATTTGGAGGTAATGTACAATCACCGACATTGTGATTTTGACCACAATTAAAACATCCGATTGTACGTTTATAATAACAATCAATTGTTCGATGATTGTTGCGACCGCAAACTTTACAGTCGTTGAATTGATGTTATGATAGTGGTTGACTATTGCTTAGTTTCTGCTGTGATATCGATTGCGGTGGATAATTTCGAATTTGTTTTCTATCAGGTGCCATGAATGTTCGATTTCCAAGTGTTGGAATCGAGTTCCGCTGAGAAACGGAGCTCTGTAATTGTGTTGAATGTGAAACAGGATTGTTGTACTTCATTGTATTATAATATTGTTTTGGTTGATTAACTGCAGCAGTTAATGGTGGAATTGATGGGTGATTATAATTAAAATGACGTTGTTGTGAATCAAGTGATAGACTACCGAATGTATCATGTAAATCTTGTTCAATTTTTGCATATTTTAAAAATTCATTTAATGTATTGATAGATGATTCACGTCTTAATAATTCCTTCCTAAAATCAGGATTGATTCCACTCATTAAATATTGAATTATAATTTTTTCTGACATATTTGAATCAATTTCCCGGCATAAATTAATAATGTTGTCGAAAAAAGACGTAATCGGTTCATCCGGTAATTGTTTACGTTGTTTTAATGTATCAAATTTCTTATGAGTTGATGTTGAGGAAAAATATCGATTTCGAAATGCAGTTTCAAAATCTGACCATTGTTTAAAATTAGCTTCATTATTGTCGAACCATATTCCTGCAGATTGATTTAATTTACCACGAACAATTTCTAAAATTTCATGATTATTTGATTCTTCAGTTGCCTTGGTTATATTCTTGATGCTTTTTAAAAACTGTTCGATATCCTCAGAAGGATGTCCAGAAAAATTTGGTAAATCATCAAATCGTGCTTTACGAGCTTTTGCTAATAATGTTTGATCAGTCATTTTATGTGTATCTATGTTTTGTGTTTCCATTTCAATTGAATCAGTATATGAAAATGTACGAGATTTTGAATTTGTAATGATGGTATATGGAAATAATTTGCTATTATTTTTCTTAACTTGAAGCCTTGTTCCGGAAGCCGTTATGAAATTATTATATATAGAGATAAGTGAATATAATGGCCAGTGATTCAATAATTGAATAAAATATGAATCGATTTATGAATAATGAATGATTGAATGGGAGATGAATGAAATTCTTTTTCTTTTTTTTTGAAATTTCTAATTAGAATGTATTTAAATCAATGAAGCACTATATTGTTTATTGATTTAAATTGGTATAACGTAATTTGAAAATATCACAGACGAGTCTCTTTCTGGGAGGCTCTTAATCGAGTGCAATATCAAGTCTCTTGTATCTTAGCGGCTTTTTAATGTTTCGATGAATTTTAAAATTAAAGTAAAAAATAATGAGGAATTGTTGTTGTTGTAAATATTCGTTTTGTCCAGGGTCATCGATTGTTAAGCTTGTTGTTGTTTAGCCAGGGTCGCCATGTTAGAGTGATTTGTCCTCTAAGGACAAATTCTGATGATGGAAAAAAAACATATATGTGTTATTGCACACGATCTCTTTATTATATGCTATATCAAATGTGTAATATGTTTATATAGCGATAGAAGGAAGACTAGATAGAGAGAGAAAATATCACAGAAGGTGAATAACAAAAGAGAACGAAAGAATGAAAATAATATCTATTAGGTATATGCATAGAGATGTGAATATTCTTCACACTCTAACAAGAAGTTTTCAACTTTGTATTGTCATGATTGCCAAATAGAAACTATTTTTGACATAGAAACTATTTATATAACAATAAACATAACGACAAATATTACATATGTAGTTGGTGAATGAAGTTATAGAAACAAATTAAATATAAACCATGATGTGGAAAAAAAAATTAAATCGATACTTGGTTGTGAAATATCGGGGGACACGACAGTTGAGCACCCGACAGTTAAGCCCCGCCAGTTGATCTCCTGACAGTTGAGCTCCCGACACTTGAGCCCTCATTAAACAGCTGATTAAAGAGTACATAAAAATAATTTTCTTGAATAAATTCGGCGAGGTGAATCATGAAATGTTGTTGCACTATTCCTAATCTTTGATTTAAATTCCATTGGCCAGTGTTTCTTTCGGATTTGGTGCATGAATACGACCTGTGACTTAAACGTATTTTGTACCATCAAAGCACACGCGACCTGTACAATTATTTCTACAGCAACACCAGATAGTTTAAGCCTTATTGGTATGGCGGCAACAACAGCCACCAAGTACAGGTTGATCTTTATTTTTTGAGGACTTTACAATAGTCATTGTTCCCTCGACTGAAGGGAGGGTCATATGAAAAAAACTAAAATGCGTTTGTGGGTTTGTGTCAGGGTCAAAGGTCAAAAAAACATAAGATCACCACATCGGACTTTCAGTACGAGAAATCATCCTATTAGAGGTATTCGACCTCGCGCTTTCGACCAATCAGAGTCTTTCACGCTAAAAAACCAGCCTATCAGGGGTTTTCGATGTTGGACTTTCAGCCAATAGGATTTTCTCATGCCGAAAATCCAGCCAATCAGGGGTTTTCGATACTGGGCTTTCAGCCAGTAGGATATTTTCATGCCAGAAATCAAGCCAATCAGGCGTTTTCGATATTGGGCCTCCAGCCAATAGGATTTTTTCATGCTAAAAAACCAGCCAATCAGAGGTTTTCGATGTTGGGCTTTCAGCCAATAGAACATTTTCATGCCGAAAAACCAGCCAATCAGGGGTTTTCGATACTGGGCTTTCAGCCAGTAGGATTTTTTCATGCCGAAATTCCAGCCATTCAGGGCTTTTCGACCTTGCCATTTCGACCAATCAACTTCTTTCAACCTAATAAGGGTGTGGGTGTGTGGGTGTGTGGGTGTGTGGGCGTGGTTGTGGATGTGGGTGTGGGTTAGAGAGCTGCACCGGGTTTTCTGGACTCGGTCAAAGAATCATGAGTCATTCTATCGTATCGAATATTGAATCATTATTTGAACATGCATTTTGTAGATGCATGTTTGCTCTTTCAATCTATGTAATCAGAAGTATACAACCATCTTTCATGACCAAGATTTTTTTAAATTAATAGGTTCGGGTCCAAGCCGGGTCTGGACCCGAGCCTGGGTCTAGATTCACACTTATAAATTTAAAAAATCTTGGTTTTGAAAGGTGATTGTATATTTCTGATTACATAGATTGAAAGAGTAAACATGTATCTACAAAATGCATGTTCAAATAATGATTCAATATTCGATACGATAGAATGGCTCGTGATTCTTTGACCGGGTCCAGAAAACCCGGTGCAGCTCTCTAGTGTGGGTAGTGTGTGGGTGTCGGTAGGGGTGTTGGCTGGGTTTGGATGTGGTGGCGTGGGTGTAGGCGGGGTGGGGTGGGTCTGGGTGTGATGGGGTGGGATCGATGTTGGTGGGTTTGGGTAGGTGTGGGTGTGGCTGTGGATGTAGATGTGGAGTGTGGGTATGGGTGGGTCTTCTATTTGCTGACACCTACACCCACACGCACACTCACCGGCACCCAGCCCACCACACTCATCCCGCAACACCCACACCTTCCCGAACCCACTCACACCGATCCCATTCCATCACACCCAGACCCACCCCACCACACCTACACCCACGCCATCACATCCACACCCACTCACACCCTCCCCGCACACACCCATCCCACCACATCCACGCCCACCCCACTACATCCACATCCATCCCACCACGCCCACACCCGCTTCCTACTCACACCCCACCCATACCCTCTCGTAGTGCAATAAAGGTCTCGAATTAGGGTGAATGTATTGATTATGACTACGAAAAGCTAGCTAGTTGTAGAAGTTAAAGTCGATCTAAAGTAAAGATATTTCAGCTTCAAAATTTCGAGCTCACTTCCAGAACTACTTTTGACCGAGTATTAGAAACTGTCAACATTTGGATAGAAAAATATCAGAAAAGAATCTGTTTAGCTGGGATACTTATGTCAATCATTAGCATGATGAACTATGAAAATAAATATCTAGGTATCAGAAAATCTAAAAATATAAACCCGACTATAAAGCCAAACTTGACAGATCAATTTATTTTCTTATATAGAGTAGTATCCTTTTACGAATCGAGAAGTCTTTCAATTGTGTTAAGCAATGATTTCAAATAAGAGATTATATCAAATTTATCAATTCTTGCGAGTTACTATGTGATAAGTTTTCAAAGAGTTCTTCCGTTTTTTTTAGTGTTAGCGTATATGGAACGTGAATGGCTAAAATACAAGTTGTTACTATTAGAAGCTTCAGGAGTTATATGACTTTCAAATTGTATATATTCGTGGAACTTTAATAAACTTTTTTTGAAAAGAACTAGTTAGTCAATTGTCATGCTAAAAAGTCGTTTCAATTTAAAATTATACCGACGATTGTTTATATTACAGTTTGCATGACATTACATCGAAAAATTTCTTTCATCTGAAGACCTACTAGTGGACTGCTATTGAATCTGATTGCAAATAAAAAGTTATACCTAGTTTCTTGACCATCGAAATTCAAATTTGTATTGTTTATTGCGCGCTGTTTCATTTTTAATCGTTGTTGTTGTTCGACGTTTTTTTGTGTACTCAAAAAGTGAGTACACTCTAGAATCGGTCAGTGTGTCCGGCCGTTAACACGATAACTTTTGAAAGGAGAGTCAGATCGGGATGAAATTTTCTACATAGTTCAGTCTTAACAATATCTCGGTCGAGTTCGAAGATGAGAAGGATTGGCCGAGCCCTTCCTGAGTTATTGCAAAAATACTCATTTTTCCCTATACCTTCCCTATGGAAAGATCGACCGATTCCCGCTTTCGTAAACAACTTTTCCTATCATAGTCAACTAAAACCCCAACTATTATATACCATTCTATAGAGAATTTCAAGAGCTACAAAATGGTATATAAAACATAAAGAAACAAGAAGGTTGACTCACCTATCACAAAGATAATTAAAGAGAACTAGGTTGTGTTTTTGTCCACGATCTAATTGATCCACGTTTAGAGCTCTATCTTCCGATCATAGAGTTGATACTTCAAGGTTTTCTGGGGCGGAGAACTCGAATCCGTACTCCACTTGCCTCGAAATACTATTGGCTGAGCAGTGACCAATGGAAATCAAGTTATAGGAAAAACGACTTTCTTAGGGTTAATCAAGACGAAGAGTTGAAATTTGAGCTCTATTCGCCTCTAAGCCCTATTGATGGATCAAAAGTCAACAGAAATAAACAGTTTATAGGAAAGGTTTCCCAGTATAATTTTGATATCCACATATTCTAGGATGACTCATCTGTCTAATTCACTTTTTGAAGTACACATAACTCTCGGATTTAAATCCGAGGTTTTCACATTTATTTATATTGACGTCGACTAAATAATTGATTTTTCCATGTATTTAAGGCTAAATCTAAACCACATTGCCAATGATTAACAGCTAATGATTTATCAATAAATTTTCCGAATGCTGTTGCAATAGCATTTTGTAAAGATATTGGTTGATTTGAATTGTATTGAACTGGATAATTATCACCAGGTACATCATATATATCAAATGATATGCACCTGGTTTGGTCATCGCACTTTTCTATTTCTGGATGCGTTTTAGGATTGTCGTACTGGTCATTAAATAAAGATTGTAGATTAGTGTCTTTAATGTTCTTACCTATATGGATGAGGTCGAGGTGATGAAAATTTTTCAATTCTTCTTATAATGGTCCCCATGATATAATTTCATTGTTATTGGTGAATATGATTGAACATAATTCTTTTATTTGTTTAAATAAAATTGATTGTGGGTCGGGCAAATAATTAGTTGAATGATAGGTTAAATGAATGAATTGTATTTGTATTAATGCACCTCGTTTTTCTTGTTTGCCTTTTTGTGATTCAGTATCAACGACATAAAGTTTTGTTTGTTTTGCGTTTATAATAAGTTCATCAATAATGGAAATTGTTGTTTTATAATGAATATGTATAATGTTGATGTTTGATGTTTGGTGATGATTCAAATGGTGGATATTGAGCTTTATATTTCTATTTTTTTCTATTCTTTTGGTTGTTCTCCGCCAATCTCTCTTTTGCTTGGTACTTAATTTAAAGTAATAATCAGGTAAATTAGATAATGATCGTCTTGAAAGCATGGTAATGTATTACGTAATTTATATTTGAATGGCATAATAAAATTATTTCTTCGCTAAGGTCATTTTCCTTCAAGGTCAATTTTTCTTTCCTTTGCATATAAGGATGCTCGATTTTCTCTATATATAAAATTTTCTTTTTCTCTGTACATAACAGACGGGGCTATTGTTGTCCATGTATAAAATTTTTTCTTTCCTTTGATGTGGTCAATATGTATATATCATGTTGATGCTTTGATTATAGTAAAGTTATCCATCTGGAACACGTGCATTATTGTTCGCGCTGTACGATATGGCTACTTCTGTCATAGCGCCTTGATTATAATGCACTGTGATTGGTGGATGAGTCATCACGTATAATGTATGTATCCGATGAATAATACACATAAAATAAAATCAATTAAAATGAAATTTTTGAGTTTGACAACCCCTCATTGTCAGTGAGAAGGTGAAATTCAGTCTCCCCGGCATTGATTGATTATCATTATAATTTTGGACATGTGCGACATCGAATGTGATCTATGCCATGACATGTCCATGTGGTCGTTATGATTATATTGATTCAACAGCAAAAACATTGACTGATGCTATGGCTTGTAAATATAAACGTTCTTACGATAATCATCAGCATGCATTTGTTTCTCTTCTTCTTTTTCTTATGATATACAGATCATCGACAACATGGCAATCGAATTATACATGAAAAATTAACTGGTAGTCCTCTATTTCGAGGATCACAAATCGATCCTAATGAGAGAGAGTAATAAAAGACATTCCATCACTCTTTCGATTATGCTACATATTCTTTGTTTTCTTTTTCATTGTTGTAGAAAAGAAATGGCTAATCAAACGCGTCTCTATCAACATTCAGCTCGTTGTCCAGAAGTACTTCGTTCATTTTTTGATTGCAATCCTATGTATTGGTGTTTTATTCCTCTACCTTGGGATGAAGCAGTAGCAGAAAATGTTGCTAATCGTCCAGGAACTTCTACTACAGATCCCAATCTGGATGCTCTGATAGCAACTACTGCCGTAAACAATCATAGGGTGGCTAATTATCTAGATAATGTACCATTACCACCAACTCCCTATGCCTTCTCATTTCGACAGCTAAAACAACAGCGTCTATTTTTCGAACGATTTGTTACTTCTTACATTCATTACCGGCCTTATATCAAATTGGATTTGTATAATATAGCAATTATTGCCGTTTGTAAGTAAATCTATCTTTATCAACCACATCATCATCATCATCATTATCATTTATGCCTGTTTTTCTTTCATACTGATTTAGTACCAGATGATTTTTCAATGATACTACGATACATCATCGAAACATTATTCATTATTCATGGTGAAACTAAATTGAATATGATTTGTCCACTTCGTGGTGATGCTGAAAAACGTTACGGTCGTCCGTATAACCTACATTGGTGTGCTAATTTGTATCATTCATCAATGTCAACCACGACATCAACTCAGTGACATTTTAAAACTACAATGGTCACTATTATAAAATAACATTTAATCAATATAAGCAATTTGATTTACCTCGTAGATAATAGTTAATCTTTAATGTTTGTAATATATGTGCGAAATACTTAATCTAACATTAATAAAACATGATTCTGCACTTCCTCTAATATCATATTCATATATTGTTCCATTCTAGATAAGTATAATCTTCGACGGACATTTAATAGTTTACATGCTAAACGGAACAAACCCATGACATTCTCGTCCAAAATCAAACCACATCACTACCAAATACAAGAAAAATCAACCGACGACCTATTCACATCCATCTAGACTTTCAGACAAGCACTTGACTCAAACAAAATATGAATCGATACTACAAAGACATGACTCCACTCGCTCTTACTCGGCCATCACAACGGCGACAATACCACGTACGAAACACTATCCAGCATAAACCAACATTATCAGTGGAACTCAAATAAAAGAAAATCACTACCAAATAAAATTACCAGTCACTTCCAAGAGGATTTCACATACTCCAAACCAAATATTTCACCTTCCCACAAAAATTGACCGTCGAACACAACATTGTCCAAAACTTCTCAATAGACGTATAAAAATCGATTCATTCCAAAACACAATCATTCCGCGACACAAAAACTACAAGCAACTATAAGATACAAGCTCTGAGAAATCTCCAAAAATTACCTTGTTTCCTAAACAACTGATCTAACAGACTAACTCATCAGTATATTTCCAACGACATCACTAATACACCGAAAATCCAACACACTATCCCTCACAATTAAATGTTCTCATATTCTTCACAAAATCAATCATACATACCAGATTAACATTCACACAAATAAAATAAGTTAAATGTACACTATCAACTTCAACAAATGCTACACGGTCGCTGACTTCTCATTCAACAACCAAAAAGCAAACAAATTTAACAAACACTTACGATTTCGCCAAAGTCCTTCTCAAAGTAAAATGCCACGCTACTACCACGGACTACAAATTTTTTCAAACACTTTCAATAATCAGATTTCTATTCTGGTAACTGTTACACACCCTTCCGTTGGGTTTACGAATTTTATTTCGGAATTTGAATTAGTATCTTGTTTTTGATTCGATTTTTCTATTCAAATTTCGAATCAATTTTAGTACAGATATTTGCCACTTGATAATATTTATCAGTATAAATTGAAATACAAAAATTTGTATTGTGGTAACTTTTACACACCCTTTTAGGTGTTCGTCGAAATTTCATTCGAATTTCGAATTAGTATCTCGTTTTTGATTTGAATTCAATATTTAAATCATTCGAACAGATATTTGCCACTTGATAATATTTATCAGTATAAACTGAAATACAAAAATTTATATTATGGTAACTTTTACTCACCCACCCACACACCCACAACCCTAGTTCATTATTAATAATAATGTATTCGAATTATTTCTTACTTATTCTTTTTATTCATATTCTTCCAATATGGAGTTATCAATTAAAAACATGTTGTTCAACAGAGAAGATGACGACAACGAATACAACTCGTCCGCTCTCATGTCCATTAAATTTTGTTATTAAATTAAGTTCAGTTATATTCTATATGGGTAATGGTTGTGCACTAAGTTCATGTCAAAGACGATTAAATAAACATTATCTTCTTTGTATTATAATTATCGAAGATGTTCAATTTCTATTCAATGTATTCATATGGATTCATCACAATGTTCATGGTTAACGAAAAATCATAATCAATCTGAACATTTAATTATTGATTATGATTGTATTTTATATGAACCTCCAATAAAAAAGAATCGAATGAAAATATTGTTCTTTTTTCTTCTAAAGTTAATATTGAATCCCCAACAGATCTATTTAATGATTCATTTCTAACGGATAATGAAGATGAATGGAAAGAATATTTATTTAAAAAATATTTTCATGATTGTGGAAAAACAATAATTATTCAAGAACGACGTTCATTATTAAGTGATATTATGCGAACAATCGTTATTTTAATTATCTTTGCATTTGTTCTGATTATATTTATGCTTATTTCACTGATGATTTATAAACGTTTACAATTCATTAAACGAAATCAAACTAATAAACATCAACCATTTCCAGCTGATGATGCTTATGATAATTTAAAAATAAGCCCAACACGATCTATTGCTGATAGTGGTACAACAACAGATGTCTGAATAAAATTCAGGTCCTTTTTTTTTCTCTTTAATCAATTCGCGTGTGTGTCTATTGAAATGTCAAGGTTTATTTACATTTAATGAAATAATATATATATATATGAAACGTGTGTGGATATATCTTTATCACTTCCGGTCATGATCAAAAGGAAAAAAAAATTCTGTGCCTTGAAGCATTATCGAAAGGGTTCTGTATGATGTAATGGTTGAGAAAGAAGAAGGATAAAACAAACAAACATACTCGCTGTTAGATGTGTTAATCTTTTCTTCTATCAAAATCTTGAATGATCATGTCAACTCTATATCTATTCAGGTCAAATTATCTTCTAGAGATAATCAACCGAAGAAAAAAACTCAATCAAATATACCTTATGTCATCAACATATGAGCTTAATAGATATTTTCCTTCTCGCATGTCAGTTACTCGATGTTTGATGGATTGATGTAGGTCTTTAAGACTAACAAGAGAAATCAGTTTCATTGTCCAAATGTTATCTAAATGATCTTTAATTTCACATGTTCAAGACCATAGTTTGCTTTGTTTATATCATATAGCTGTTCAATTGCGTGAAGATATTGATAATGAAGTTGATCGATATCTGTTTGAGATGGATCAATAATTTGATTGACATGAATCGGTTTACCAACTAAAATTCTTTGTTTTTATCGAATCTAATGAGAAAGAAAGTCTTATCTTACCAACGGTCGTTACAGGATGATGAAGAGGTAGAATACCAATGATTGATCGTCCCCAAATCCATCGATTTGAAATCCAATTCTTATATCGTCGATAAAGTTCATTTTCTCCAAATGATATAACCGGTACTAATGATGCACTAATAAACAAAAGTTCTTCTTTTCTATTCATTCTAATTACATATTCACTAACCCATTTTCTAATGCTAATCGTATAAAACCTTTTCTGTTTTTTAAATAGAATATCATCATTTGATATTCTGTTAAATACAATTCTCGCATACCACCACACACAATAACAACAGCATTACCTTGACCAGATGAACCATTTAAGAAATATTGACAACTCTCTCGTGAGACACGACATGCACCTAGAATAACAATACCTTGAATGATGGATTCATAATGTTATCATTACCCAAATTAAGAAGTAATTCACGTGTAAATGGAATGAGAAATCCGTTACGAAGAATCATTAAATGAGGACGAATACCAGGAAATAGAGTTGAAAAATGTGTTGCTTCTGTTAGGAAATTGACCCCAGCACCGAAAGTTAATAAACCATGTGGATGATAACCAAAGATATAATTTCGATTTGGATCAAGATCTTCAGTTTTGATTAATTTTAATGGAAAATAATTAGCAACTATTGACCAAATAGATAATCGACGTAAACAATTCGACCATCGTCCTCCTCGAACATCGGTATATCGATCAATATACATCCAACTACCATAAATCAAACCAATGAGTAATGTCATTGGTAAAGACCAAAAATAGGATAAGAGAATAAATGTGAACAATGTCACAAAAGGTGAGAAAAGTATGAGTGTAAAAAGAAAGAATAAAGCCAAATCTTCAATCAAATTCTTCATTATTATCTAAAATCAATTTCAAGGATTAGAAAAAATCATCAAAAAAAAACATCATTCATAATGGAAGTGTATAATTTAACCACCGATCACTTTTCATTGCACCACATCGATCACAAACAGCTTGTGCATGATGATTTTTCACCGACGTTTGCCATGTTAAACATAATGCACCATGTTCTCGTGCATATCGTGCACATTCACCAATCAGAAGATCAGCAATACCTTGACCTCGATATGATTGATCAACATAAAGATCTTCCGTTATAGCTAAACGATTACCTTTTAATGTCGATCAAGACCAGAAAAGTGTAGCAAAACCAACAGCTTTTCCATCTTGAACATGACGAACAAGTAATGGTATTCCTTCTTGTTTTGGACTTGCAATTAATGCTCGAGATACGGATAAAAGTAGCTCATCACTCGTTCGAGAAATTTCTTCAGTTTGATAATAAAATTCACAATAACCTTGTAATAATGGTAATAAATCGACTAGATCATTTTCATTGACAATATTTATCTTCCAAGGAGTATCTTCGACGAAGGTCGTCGCCATTTTTGATAAAAAGAAATCCTGTTTGTTGTTTTTTTCTGTTCTTATCTAAATATGAGTAATCGATAAGAGTCGTATGGCATTAGTTAACGAAAGATGTCCTCAATTACCATCCATGTAGCTAATGAAACAGATATATCTGAACTTATTTCATTAATGCGTATCTATTGTGATCAATCTGATGAACCACATGTACCTAAACCAATCAATGATGATCTTCTACATCTATGTCATCAAATATTCCAAGATCCTGAACATGAAGGTATCTATCTAATTGCACGAGGTGATCATCATATGATTGGTTTTGCTTCATTATTTTGGTCATGGCCATTTACACATTATCCTGGTCGACGTGCAATTCTTAGTGATCTATTTGTTATATCTGATGCACGTGGTGAGGGTGTTGCATATTACTTCAAGCTTGTGAAGAACAAGCTCGTCAACGACAAACTATTCATTCGATTATCTGGCAAACAGCTATCGAAAATCATTCCGCTCAAAAAGCTTATCAACAATTAGGTATCACACCAAGTCGATGTACGGATTATGAGTTAATTTTATTCTTTTCCAAATGATAAAAATATCTGTTCAAGTGTTGTTTGGGAAATTGTATATGTTCCAATATTTAATCGTTGTTTATTCTCTTCAAGAAATTGAAATAATTCTGCTGGTGTACTTCGAAGACTTTGAAAGATTCCTGTTGATTGTGTTATTTCTTTCACTTCAAAATGATATTGTTTTTGTGCAAGAAAAAATGTTTGAATATTTGTCATGATTGTATAATCCGATGTTGAACGAATTTTTATTTCAATTGTATAACCTTGACCAAATTTTGATTTTAAATGTTGAATTGTTCCTAAACAAGCGAATTGTCTACGAACCATAATACCCAAACGATTACAAACACGTTCACTAGAAATCAAAAAAAAACAAATCCTGTCATTCAGATCTTCTTTTATTCTTACCATTCATCCATTGAATGACTAGTTAGAATAATTGTTAATTTTGCTTTGACAGCATTTAAAAATATTTCTTGCATTTATTGTCGAGCATCAAGATCAACACCTGTGGTTGGTTCATCAAGAGTAGCAACTAAAGGTGGTCCTACAAACAAAGCAAATCTCTATTGAATAAAGCATTTTTTATTATCAATCTCGATTACCGATTAACGCAAGTGCAGCATGTAAACTTCTCTTTGTTTCTCCATTTAATTGATGTATATAATTGTTAAGAAATGGTTCAAGTAAAAATAATGAACTCATGCGTGAAACAATCTTTTCTATACGTGACCAACGTATACCACGTATTGGTGCTAATAAATAGAGACTATCTTGAACAGTTAAAAATTCCATACCACAATTCTCTTGTGGACAATAACCTAAACGACTTGTTGATCGAATACGACGATGAACATTTTGTCCATCAATATAAGCTGTGCCTTGTGTGGACATTAAATCACCAACAACAATACGAAATGTTGTTGTTTTACCTGCACCCTAAACAAAAATCGAAGATTTTAAGAACGAAACAAGATCTCGAGTAAATAAATAAAATCGATAAATAACTGGTTAGAATTTTTATTCAATCATCTATTAGCTTTTTCTCCATTTTTTAAATGATTTTTTATTATTTTCGACGTTTCGAACTCTTATAAGTTCATTGACGAGAATCAAATCCGGGTGTTGCAGATGTATCACGAACACGTACACGACCATTTTTAGATTTTTTGAAGCTCTTTTAGACCACGAGATAATATTTTAATTTCTTAAATATTCATTTTATTGTAGAGAGTTTTTTTTTATTTTCTCGTAAATAAATATAAGTGGATTAGATTTGCATCGAATCGAAATCATTTATTTTATTTGATTTGAAAGAAAACTGTTTTTCCAAAAAAAATGCTAAATAAGAAGGAAATAAATAAAACGTGATTCATGCTAATTGAGTTTTAAAAGAAAAAAAAATGTCTTTTTGGTACTCTTAAAATGTGTTTTGGGAACGATGAAGCGTGGGTCCAACAACATTGGCTATCTTGTTGAGAGATTGTAGTTGTTCGGAGGTGGTGGGCGGCGGTGCTGTTGGAAGTATTGATGTTGGCTGTTGCTGTATCTGATGTTGGTGTATCTCCTGCTGTTGTTGTAACTGCTGCTGTTGCTTTAATTGCTGTTGTTGTAACTCCTGGTGCTGCTGTTGCTGTAATTGCTGTTGTTGTAGGCGATTAAGAATCGGTCAGAAGAAAAAGATGCATAGTCGATCAGATAAAGAAAATCCGGCACGACCAGCAAATAAATATACCAGCATGATAAGTACTAAACCAATACAAAAGATGTCGATCAAATCTCTCCAACTTGTGAATGATGGAGCCTTGCGTGAATGATCATAAAGTGCTTTGGCAAGAACAGTTTCATTTATTGTATTATTGAATAAGTACTCGATCATTGTTCGATGATCATTAACTGTCGTTTGTAAAGCCTTGATGTCGAAATTTCCCGCGTCAATTTGACGTCCTATACGATCGTTTTTGTTTTTATTTTTTTTCGAGTTTTCAATTGATGCACAGGTGTTTCTCGATAATAATGTAACCACTTGGTTATATGTGATAAATGTTTCACAATATTCTTTTATTGAAGATTGATCATGAGTATTATCATTAAAATCGAATAATAGACCACCTGATTGTAAAGCATCACATAGATGAACAGCCAAATAATAATGAAATAGAAGAAAAAAATAATAATAATGATTCATTATTTGTATTTTTACTTATATCTGAAATTGCAGAATAAATATATAGACTAAACAGAAGCAGAAGAAGAAAGATTCACCTGATAAATGTTGTTTTATTGATGATTAAAATTGGATAAGTGTATGCACACAATAAAAATTTGAAAGTATCTAAATTAAATATTAATTTTATTTTAATGAAAAAATAAAGAGAAAAGAAAAAAGATTGTATACAATGGGATATATGTGATCACGTACAGTTTATCAGCCTGCCAAGCGGGTGTGGGTGTGGATGTGGGTGCGGGTGTGGGTGTGACTGTTCATTCAGAGAAGACTCACATCAACATCCACACCCACACCCCACATCCTGATTCTAATTTATTTCGTTTCTACCTTTCGCTTATGGAGAACAATCGATTTCTAGACATTGTCGATCGCTTAATCATATACATATTTATCAAGGATAATCAGAATAAATATAATGAATTCAGTCGAGGGTCAAGTGAGTCGTACCGACGAACGTTACTTGTATAATAACAATAGAATAAGATAGAAGAGTAATGAAGGATAGATTTAAAAATGTAGACGAAAATATATAGAAAGTTCATTTTTTTATTGCAAGCTTTCAACACAAACTTGTGTCATCATCAGACAATTATGACAATTTTTACCAGAATTCGAGAATATATAGAAAATTTTTTTTATGATTCATCTAGATTTTCATTTGAAGTTCTTTGACTAACCATAAATCAAATATACGTGAATGAAATTTCATCGAATGATAACATCTTCTGAATGAATCTCAAAATTATGGTTAGTCATATAACTTCAAATGAAAAGCTAGATGAATCATAAAAAAAGTTTTCTATACATTCTCGAATTCTTGTAAAAATTATTATAATTGTCTGATGATGACACAAGTTTGTGTTGAAAGCTTGCAATAAAAAACTGAACTTTCTATATATTTTCATCTTCATTTTTAAGTTTATAAAAAACTCTAAATTTAGTTACAATATTATGAAGGATAGATAAAAAAAGAAATATAATTCGAAAAACTAATTCGTTTTCGTATAGATTATTGATTTAGCTATGAAGGAATTTAATAACGAGCCATCAATTTCATAGGAAGATGTGACTTGTTTCTGTTCACCAATTTTGAGTTGAACCAAGTGATCGAATATTGACTTTGTTTCTTTCGTAATTAATCGATGAGGGCTCAAGTGTCGGTAGCTCAACTGTCGGTGTACCGAAATATCTATATCAATAATTATAATAAGAGAATTGATTTGAAATTAACTTTTTTTCAACTCTTCATCGAAAAAAAAATAATCTTCACTTTGTTTTATTTTGCCAATTTTTTTTGAAAGATAGATGTCTACATAAATATAAACTATAGACTAGGCAAGGGGAAAACAGCGGACTTCAAGACTTC